CTCGAGGCTCGCAAATTAATTAGGTCGTCTCTTGGGAACTTCACATCTTGTTTTTTCTTCGAAGATGTTTTGCTTCTCATCCAAGAAGCTTCTTCAGCTCTGACTGGATTGGGGGGGGGGGGGAGGGAATGGAAGGATTTCTACTCTTTGCAAACAGCTGGTCATTCATAATAAATCCTTCCCTTCCCCACCATCCAGCCAGAGCTGAAGAAGCTTCTTACATGAGAAGTGAAACGTCTTCGAAGAAAAACAAGAAAGTCCCGTTGCTTCTTCATGAAGAGCTGAAGAAGCTTCTTGGACGAGAAGCAAAACCGAAGAAAAACCAGTTGCCTCCTGGAAAAAAAACAACACTGTTGGGACAACCACAATCTGGAGGGCAGAGAATCTCCATAGATACCTGTATATTTTATTTATTTGCAAGTGGGATTTAGATACACACGGAATTGTGAATGGGAAACAGCAAAAAACGGAGCAAAATAATTTTTGGTTGGGAAAAAAACAACCTTTCCTCCTTCCGACTTTTAGTCCAAATTTAATTTTTGGGTTGACAAATTACGGCATCCTCCTCCTTTTGGTCCCTCTGGATACAAATACTACTACAGTGGAACCTTGGTACCAGGGTGGATTTGATTTAAATCACTAGTAAAAAGGCTTGATTTAAATCAACTTTAAACTAATCAAGGGGAGAAGCAACAAAGGGGAAGCAGAGAAACAGAGGCCTACATTTAGGATTTCTGGCAAGGGGGGTGGGGGGTGTCAGACCTGCTGGAATGCTGACAGGGGGAATGCCCAGAGCTTTGCCCCTCCAGCACCCTCTGCACTCACCTGGAGGTGGGGCTGAGGAACAAAAACCATGGGCAGGGGCCACGGCAGAGCCTCCCTCCCCTACAGCCGCTGGGTGAGGAGTGAGTGCCCACGTGGCGGAGACGGGGGAGTCCGCTGCGCCCAGATCCGTAGCTAGCAGAGGCCCGATTGGCGCCTGAGTGTTCTTCTGGGGCCAGGCCGTGGCGGCTTCCAGGCTGAAGCAAGAGCTGGGGAGGGAGGCCAGCAGGGTGGTGACGGGCACGGCCACCTTGTGGGGGCACGAGACGGGTCCCGCAGCGTTCTCAGTTTTCACAACGGCGCCAGACACGTGGTTGAGGAGCCCACAAGCCGCTGGAGGAGTAGCGGATCTCGGCCAGGGCTGCTGCCGGTGAGACAAGGACCCGCCTTGCCCGCTCAGCCTGGGCGAGGCGGGCGCGGAGGCCTCCCCGTAGAAGCTGGGGCCGTTGATCTTCACCTCGGCGGCGGCACCCAGGCCATTCGACGTCCCGCAGGGGGGAGGAGGTTTCTTGGGCCGGTCCACGGAGGAGGGGTAGGGGGTCTCGTCCTGCAAGGAGTTCTGGGGGATGAGCCCCGAGGTGCAACTGGGAGGGGGGACGCTGGGCTTGTCCGTCGCCTGGTACAGACTGGCGAAGGAGCTGTCGGCCGCCAGCAGCGGCTTGACGTCCCCTTTCTCCGCCTGCTCCGAGTCCCAGGAAAAAGGGGCCTGCTTGGCCGATAAGTGTTTGAGGATGCTGCACTGCAGGGCCACGATGCTACACAGCCACTGAAAGAGAAAGGATGGTCACAGGTCAGGACGGAGGACGGGAGTCAGAAGACATTTCAAAGGGGGGGAAAAAAAAAAGAAGAAGAAGAAGGAGGAGGAGGAGGAGGAGGAGGAGGAGGAGGAGGAAGGGAACTTAAGTCGGAGGAGAAAAAGAAAGCTGGAAAAAAAATAAGAGCATTAAAGAGAACAAGAGATGAGACAATTGGCCACTGGCATGTACTTATGACGGTCCCAGGGTTACGTGATCAAACAAAGTCAATGGGGAAGGCATTTAACAATGCCTAACTTAACAATGGCAAGATTTGCTCAATAGCCGTGCCGAGAAACGTCGTAAAACGGGGCAAAGCCCCCTTAACCACTGTCTTGCTTGGCAGTGGCAACGCTGGGCTCGATTGTGGTCGTACGTCGAGGACCTGCCTATGTTCGAAATCCACCCTGTGGCCCTTTTTGCTCTCCTAGCAGCCCCTCAAAGCCGAACGAGGAAGCTCCGTGGGGCAGAGGGGATGACAGGGGGAAGGAGACGGGCTAACTGGCCCCACTGATTTTCTGAGGGTGCTGGGAGGACTCAGCTTGCTCCGCTGCCCCAGCCGTGAGACCCAGAGAGGGGGGAGGTGTCTGATGCAGACTGGCAGGAGGGCAAGCCCACCCCTCCACCCACCCCTCCCCCAAAACAGGAGCCTTGCCGGCCGTGTTACCTCTTGCTGTTCCGATTGGGCGGCTAAGTGCTGGGAGGGGCTGCCAGGGGCCTTCGGCAAAGACTCCTCGGAAAAGCCGTTGCAAATCAGCTCCCCGTCCCGGATGGCTGCGGGCGCCATTAATGCTGGTGGGATCCGATACTGGGACTTGATGGCCTCCGGGACCTGCGGGCAAAGAGAAGCGGAGAAGTTGGCACAGCCATCGCAGGGTGCCCTTTCCGAGCAGCAAGGCCGCCACCTCTTGGCAGGACCCGGGCACTGCAAGCCAGCCCACAAGGATGGCCGGGGAAAGCCAATGTGGGGCGCCAGCTTGTAGCTTCAGCCTTGATGGGGGGGAGGGGAGCAGTAGGGAAGGAGGAGGGGAAAGAAGGATAGAAGCAGAAACCAACCCAAGAACCCTCCGGCTACCCCGAGAGATGCCGGACCTCAGAACGGAGACTAAAATGTGAGGGAGCTTCGTTGTTTTTCTCGAAGACGTTTCATGACCCATCTAGGCAATCTCATCAGTGCTAGTAAGGACTGGGGTTTGAGGAGAGGAGGAGGAGGAAGTGGATTGTGGGGTCCTTGGTACTCTCTGAGCTTGTTTTTCTTGCAGACCTTTCAACACCCAAGTGGGTAACATCATCAGTGCGAGTAAGGAGTGTGGTTTGCTGTCAAGATTATATCCTGGTAGAGCTTGCCTGGTCAATGTTGGTGGCCTTAAGAGATTCTGCCGCTGGCTGTCGGCTTCTTTGGCCGTTTCTTGATTGGGGTATTCCAGTCCGGTACCAGCACTGATGATGTTCCCTAGAGGGGTCGTTAAACGCCTGCAAGGAAACCACCCAGCTCGAAGAGCACCAAGGACCCCCCGTGTCGACCCTTCAGCTACAAAGATTCTCCTTTATTTATGTTTAGTTTAGTTTAGTTTAGTTTTATTGGACTTGTATGCCGCCCTATTCCCCGAGGGGACTCAGGGCGCCTAACAAACTAAATAGGGGAAAGGGGAAATACAAAAAACGAAAAGACAGACAAATACAAACAGATTAAAAACTCCTCAACAGCCGCAACAATTCGAGTGGGGCTGGGAACTCATCAGCCCCAGGCCTGCCGGAACAGCCAGGTCTTGACGGCTTTGCGGAAGCCCTGAAGGGTGGCAAGGGTCCAGATCTCCACGGGGAGATCGTTCCAGAGGGCCGGAGCAGCCGCAGAGAAGGCCCTCCCCCGGGGGGGTCGAAAAACGACACTGGCTAGTTGCTGGAATCCGGAGGAGGCCTAATCTGTGGGATCTAATCGGTCGTGAGGAGGTAATTGGCAGAAGGCG